GAATGTTGTTATTTCAAGGAATTATTATTTTAATTTTTTTAAAAGTATAATTTTACAACATTCTTCTAAATGTCGCATAACCCTTCAATGGAAAATGTCATATTGAGACATCACTTGCATTCATTTCCACTTGTGGGTATCAGTAAGTAGTTGTCAAGGGGTTATCCCATACAGTGGGTTACTGTGTGGAGAGCGACGGTTGCCTCAGCAATGCTCTGAACTGACTACCTGCCACTGCAGTAATGTGATAACACTTTTTCCCCTTTCATCTGTTTTGCAATGCTAACATGCCCAACCCAGGTTCCATGTTACAGGGTTAAACGAGATAATATTATATTCTGCTTAAACTTCTGATAACTCTCAATTTCATTGTGAACTGCTTTAATTATTAGCTTTTGTTTTTAATTACAATATACCTTAAATGAAAAAAGACAATTAGAAGCAATCAATATATTGTGTTCTTACATTCGGGCAGCTTCTTTAACAAGTTCCTTGCAAGAAAGATCAGCCAGTTTCAACTTCTCAATTTCAGTCTTTGCTGCTTGTTTCGCTTTTCCAATAGCACAACCATAGTAACCCTAAAATGGAAAATGTAACTCATAAATTACGTCATTCAGAACAAGAATATGCTTAAATCAAAAACTCTTTTATAGAACCACCATACATAATAACTTGACGAGTCCAACATTTTGCACACGTGAACTACAAAAACTTACGTATGAGACACCATCAGCTTCATAACTTCCCATAATTACGCTGCAACCAAATGGTCGTACAGCAGAGTACAGAGTATAAGCATGCATGTACATTGACACACGATCATTAAGATATTTAAGTGGAATATTTGTTCCATATTGTGCTCTGTAATTAGCAGCCTCGCTACGTGCTGTTTCAACTATCTGTCGGGCATCAGATATCAGTCCAGACACTGCCTGTAAATCATAACAACCTTTTTAGAATCTTGCACATTCAAAAGCTGCAACGAAAAGCATGAATTTGGATATTGTTTTACTTAGTAAGAGACAGACAGTAAATCAATTTCAATGTTCTTTCATAACAAATAATGTATGAAGTGAAGTATTCCCAGTTTATGTATTAACTGTTATTACATTAAGCACTTCTGTATTAAAATATGAGTACATAAAAAAATACGATAACAGTTTTAAAATGAATATTAACACTTATGACAACATAAGAAAACATGATAAAAACAATAGGAGAGCCAGAAATACAATGCTACTTAATTAGAATATAATTAATCTCTGTTAAAATAACTAATAATAACACCTCAACCCAAACAGTGAAATTGCACATGACAAACATGGACATTTTTTTCTACTGAGAAAGCAATTTTAATATTCTTTAATAAAAGCAACCAAACATATTTATTTGATTGCTCTGTGGTAAAGTGATACAATCTATTCAACTAACTTGATTTATTGACCAAAACATCTCACAATTTAACATTTCACTTCATAATATTCTATACAAAATATCAAGAGAGAAAATTTTACTTATAATTTGGTAATAACCTTTTAAGACAAACAATAATTATTACAAAATTGGCTTCATTTTAAATGTATTAAACATGCAATAAAAAATATAAATTATTCCAATTTTACTAACCATTCCCACATGAGTGTCAATGTTAAACACTCTTTTGTTGGCACCTGGTTCATACAATTTTGAAGTCACGAGCTTTTCCACAGCAAATACCACTCCATCTTTTCCCCTCAAGCCGATTACGGTCCTACAAAAACAATTACAAATTATAAATACTGTTTGTAAAGTAATTATGGAATTATTACGGAAAATTGTGTATCTTACCCACTGTTTTCAACAGCTTTATGAGCATATTCTACTTGGAAAACTCTCCCGTCAGGAGAGAATTGGGATGCTGACAGGTCATACTGTAATATCATAGATAATAATGAAACTTAAAAAATGCAAAACATTAGAAACTATAATCACATAACTCTTGTACATATTAATTGGTTAAGTTAAAACATGTCTACTTCACCTAGTTATAATAGAAAAAAGCTTCGAATCGGAATAATAGTATATAACCTCAAAATTCAAGTATGTAATAACACAGTTACACAATTTTTTTTGAAATCACACTACAGAACTAATATTAGAGTACGTACCCCAGTACCAATTGAACTCATTTTTCAAGTTTTCTCTTCTAAAAGTTCTAAAATTACGAGCACAATTCAAAGTCTCGCAGAACCCGCTGTATCACACACCGTGATGCTGCAATTTAATTTCGTCCTGGCGACATTTCAGAATATGTATGGTACCAACATTAACAATATTGAAAATTTAGAAAAAAAATACATTGTTATATTTTCTTACTTCACGTATGGTGTAATGCAATAATACGATTAATCTTGAACGAATTTTTCTAATCAAGAATTTAAAACAGTAAGAATATTTTGTATTTAAGATATGTACGTAATGTCGGAACGAATATTGGGTTGGCAATCATGTCAAGAACAACACTTAGCATGTTCTGCTATTTAACCCGATTCAAATTCTTAATCGCTTTGCTTGGTTTCAATGATCGAAGAGGATAAGGTAAGTAATAATTCGAGGTGCAACTTTTAGAACGGCTCGCGAGGTTTCACGATACCTACTTCATATATTAATTTGAGTTTTTTCTAAAAGGATTTGAAGCCTATAGTGAAGAGAAACAAAATCACAGTAATTTTTATTGTGTTATATATTATTTCAAGAGTAAACATTTTAAGTACAACCTGAAAACAAGTTGAGCTAGGTTAATTTAAATTAAAAAAAACAGCCCTATAATTTCTGTGTTAAGGATTTTACAAAGATTTGAAGGAAAAATAAAAACACTGTTTTGGTTAAACACAGGAATAAACATTACAAAACTTTATTCACAACCGTGACATATAGTGACTCATTTACATATAGCATGATACTTGCAATTGTTCATCAATCTAACACTCACTGAATGTAACAAAACATAATATTACTTCTTGCAACCACTGACTGACTTTTATTACAAACCTGTCGAGAGTTCTATAGGTTTACGAAATCTCTTACTAATAACAGGAATGAAAATTGCTTTTGCTCTTACAAGTCATCTCCGACGGAATTATAGGTAGAACCATTAAAACTTTAGACTGCCACTACGGACCTGTGGCAGAGGTAAGAGGAATGCCCATTTTCTCAGCAACACTGGCTTGAGCCACTGCTGCATTACGAAGAGAAAACAAATGAGACATTTCCAACTCTGTCTTAGCCAATGGGATTGCCTTATCAAAAAGATCAACTGCATGCTTCAAGTTCCCACGTTGAACTTCTATTGTTCCCAAAGTTTCATAGCCAAATTCACATCGATCATCCATTTTCAGTGCTTGAGTGATGAATTCAATGGCTTTATTTACATCCCCTGTCCACTGCAACTGAAGAAGCCCTCGATGTACATACACAGCTGCATTCTCGGGTTCGACTTCAATGGCTTTTCGAAAATAGGAATCTGCTTTCTCATACTCCTGCTGGTCGCACAAAACTTGTGCAAACAAGGTGTAACATTCGGAACATTCAGGAAACTTTTTCACAGCTAGGGTAAAATTCTTCATTACTTCTTGCATCTTCTCCATATCATGACTTTGAAATGCATAGCGATAATCAGTGTAACACTTTTGAACATAAGCAATAGGAAAATTTGGATTCAGAGACACTGCAGCTTTGAAGTCATCCATGGCTTCCTTTACTTTTTCCATTAGCAGGTGAACTTGGCCACGATGATGATATACATCAGAATTTGAGGGGTCCAACCGAGCAGCCTGGTTGAAATCTTCAATGCTCTTATCAGGTTGTTCAAGTTGCATATACAGAGAAGCTCGTTTAATTAGTGCATTTACTCGCAACTTTGCGTCAATGCTTTCATCACTAATGACAGTTTCAAAATCCTTCAGAGCATTAACATGATCTCCCATGAGCAAGTAAAATGTTGCTCGCAGAACCAGTGCTTTGAACTTATTATCGCCATCACTTTCTATTTCTTCAGTACATGCAGGCACTATTTCTTCGAAGTTGAGCTTCTTAAATGCATTCTGTGCTTGTGCAAATCCTCTCAAATCAGCCTCTGCCACATCACTTTCATTTTTTATGCTATTAGTAATAGGATCTTCAATAAAGGATGAGAAGTATGTTTTTATGAAGTGTTTGGATGGCATTATTGTTTTTCTATTTGCCATTGCTTCTTTGGCATGCACCTTACCCAGTTCTTTCAGAATTCTGTCTGCTGTGAGGAGTGTGTTCTGATTCTGAAATCCTTCTAAAATACAAGCAGCAGTAATGTCTTCAAGACTCTGAGGAAGATCTTGAGTTAATTCGCAAGCCTTAGCTCGGCGTTGAAGTGCCTTTACATACTTTGGATTCAGTTCCAGTGCATGACTGCAATCCTCTTGAACTTCTTTATACATTTTCAACTGCTCATAAGCTGCAGCTCGGTTTTGATAAAAAGTAGCCAAATCCATTGTGTTTTCTTTAGGGCAAAACTCAATTGCCTGATTATATGATTTAATAGCATCTTCGTACCTTCCAGCTTTAAAGTGTTCATTTCCAACTGTTTTGCATCCCAAAGCTTTCTTCAAAAGACTTTCAGATGATTGAATTTCAGCATTATCCTCCGTACCTGTTCCGTCCAGGGAAATCTGACTTGTCGCAGCTATTGATGAGGCACCTCCCTTCGACCTGTCCGCCAAAGACCGCTTCTCCTTACTTCCTGCATTACCTGACTGCCTGAGGTACCAATACCCTATTCCGAAGGCAACTGGCGCTCCTACTATCAATGCTACGTGCCATTTTGACCACGACGTACCCGTAGATCCGACACTGCTGGGCGCCGCCATGCTAAACCAGGTTGTTTACAGCGTTTCGGTGCTGCCAGTCGCTGTAAGTTTCGATGTCGCTAAACTGCAACCGGAACACTTTAACCTGCTAATATCGCGAACACGATTTCTACGTTAGCTCGAAATGAGCGTGAGCGGAAGCAGTTATGCAATATCATCTTAAATATTTAATGGCGTACATTGTTTAACTGGTGCGGTTGTATGGAATCAGACGAAGTTGTGACCGATTTTCAATGAAGAAATTTAATTGTTGTCATGTTGTGATAGTACGTATTCTGTGCATGGCAGTCAACGTGCCGATTTAATGCGATCGGGAAAAAAAATGTGAACGTATTTATTAATGTTACAAAAATATTTGAAGAAATAATTGAGTTGTTCTCTTTATGTATCTATGGTTTCATATTGGGTTGTGCTCTTGTCAACAGTTGATGGCTTTTGGTCTCGTTGTTGCACAGTTTTTTTGTGCTGTTTGAATGTTGGTATTGCTTTCATGCAATCTTTTGTTTAACTGCGTCTCGGGCACCCTCATTGGTGCAATGGGGAATGTTGGTCCCTCTCTGATCTCCCTGCAGCGCTGCGTAGTGCGAAAAGTATGGACTGTCCTTGGATGTGTTGAATGTGTGTCTGTGTGGTTGCTGAGTGTGATTGACTTCTGAAAGAAGGTGTTATGTGTGTTAAATTGTTTTCTAATAAGTGTTGACATAAAGTAAGTAATTTAATTATTAATATGATTGTTCTGTACTATTGCTCTTCTTAACTTTGGTAAAATTATATTACTACGTATGTTGAAATCGCAACTTCGTCGCAGTTATTTGCATATTAATGTTTTTCAGCTTGTTCATAGTAAAAGTTAGAAAGCTGAAACGTTTTTTGTTGTAACTACTACACCATCACTTTGTGAGGAAAGGGACATGCGAACATGTCACAGTGATGTATAATTCTTTGCATTTCGAACTTGAAGGACTCAACCTCTGTCGGAATTCGTTAAAAATTATTCATTGTAATACGTCTTAGATACTGTCGTTGTAAATTGAAGTTCATAAGCATTCCGACATAAAAGTTCCGAAGCATTCACCAAATTACTAATGAAGTTTTTTTAAACAACTGAAAGTAAGCAGATTGTAGACCTTAAATCTGTAACATTCATTGAACTAGAATGTAAAAGCTACAGTTTTGGTAGTGTACACAACGATCATTGGAATAGGATTTTGAATTATTGTTGTAAATGTTAGAGTGTAGTATATTAATTTTCATGTTGTTCATTAATGGATTTTTTATGAGGAATGTTTAAAAAAAAAACAAAACCTTTTCATGTATTTTAAGAAAATTTAGAGTAAGTTACCTTTTCTAAATTTCTTGGGAGTCTGTTAATATGAATGTTTTTAATGGCAATTACAAGTTGCTATGTTAAATATGTAGCATTTCAAGTGGTAGCAACAAACTGTTGAACTTTTATTTATCTATGCTTCAGGACATTTCACAATTTTTGTACTGTGTATTTTTTTAAATAAATGAAAGTAGGGTAATGAAAAATATCCTTTTGGCAGTCCTGGAAATTCCAATAATTCCTGCGAATTAACTACCTAACCATTTAGAATTTTCCATTGATGAAAAAGTTGATTTCCTCTTCTTTGTCATGTTAAAGTTCATTGATAATGTTATTTACTTTATTACCTACTTTTTAGTTGTCATTTTTACAATTCAATGTATAAAGACTACTGATGCCATTTCATTCTTGACTGTTAAATTCCTGAAAATTAGACGACAAATTCGACTAAGGCAATATTTTCTTCTTTACATTTTCAGGAGAGTAGAATTATTACAGTATCATTTGCTTTGTAGACATGGGTTTTTTTTATTACATATTTAATGTCAAATCTTTGGCAGGTAATAATGAATGAGACCTTATTAGTATTTCAATTATCTGTAGAATTAATTTTGTTTTGGCAGACATATTTTCAAATCTTTTCAACTTAATTGTTTGTTTCAGTGAGAGATTTGTATAATAGTAGACCTTCAAGAATAAATGTTGTATTCTTCAAAAACGGTGAGTACAGAAAATATAACTCCAATTAATATTATACAAGTGTGGAAAGGTGAAATATGCTTACTGAACTGTAGGACGATGTTATTGCATGTAACAATTTCTGTGAAGTAGTTTATGACTAGCTAAACCTCACTAATGTATCTTCACCAAGTACAACTAATAATGATAATAATAATAATCTGAAATGTGCACTGATGTGTTTTAGCTTCTTAGTTTAGATTAGTTTCTGACTCAAGTTGCGAGTTTCACTATTGCAGCCATATTGTTTTTAGCATATTCATTTATAGGTAATTTCCTTTGCTTGCACCACTCTATATGATAACAAGTGCAGGTTAGCCCACAAAGTTCACACATGCACGTTTCTTTTGGCTCGTGGAAGTTTTTTGTTTTGCAAAGTAAAAAGTGGAAACACGTACCCCTAGCCTGGTGACGTGCTTCATAGTTTCTCATTGCCTATTTTCTGTTTGTCATTGCTTCTGTGGCATAGAATTCTGTTCAGATCTTGTCTCCTTTTTTCTTCTGCTTTTCTGACAACACGTGATGCTGTTGTGTGAGAAAGGAGGAGTTGAAGCCTTAAATTCTCTATCACCAGGGTTTCTCTTGTCAGCTCATAAACTCATCTTGATTTAGTTGTTTTGGAAACTCCTAATATTCTTTTTAAGAATGTTGCATTTACTATTTTAGTACTAGCAGGTTCTTTTCCGCGAGGTTCGGCCTATGGTTTCTATTCCATAGGATAGTGTGGGTCTGATTTTTGCACTCTTGCGAACACTCACAACATAATTTTTTTTTTTTTTTTTTTTTT